GGCCTAACATTATGCCTTGATAAACCATAAAATGTCAATTTTCCCATTTAAGTACTAGGTTAGCATCCATGCATCTCTTAAGCACAAGTGTGATATTTTTCTAGCAACTATCAAAGGTATTACGATAAACACTAAAATCATCCATAAAGACCTCAATGATGCTTTCAATATAGTCGGAGAATATACTTATCATGCATCTTTGAAAGGTTGCGAGAGCATTGCAAAGGCTGGAGGGCATGTGCCGGTAAGCAAAGGTGCCAAATGGACAAGTGAATGTTGTTTTCTCTTGGTCCTCCAGAGCAATCACAATTTGGTTATAACCTGAATAACCATTGAGAAAACAATAATGAGAATGACCTGCTAACCTTTCAACATTTGATCAATAAAGGGTAAAGAAAGTGATCTTTTCAGGTTGCACAATTAAGTTTTCTATAATCAACACAAACCCTCCAACCCGTTTGGACCCGAGTTGGTACAAGCTCATTCTCTTCATTCGTCACCACTGTGATTCTGGACTTTTTGGGAACAACTTGGACCGAGCTTACCCACTTTCTATCAGAGATAGGAAAGATGACATCAACATCTAGCAATTTCAAAATTTCTTTCTTCACCACCTCCATCATGGGAGGATTCAAGCGATGTTGTGCTTCCCTTGATGGTTTTGCTCCATCTTCGAGCAATATCCGGTACATGCACATAGAAGGCTTATCCCCATGATATCGGCTATTGTCCAACCAATAGCTATTTTGTGTTCCCTAAGTACACGGATAAGTCTATCTTCTTGAAGTGTTGTGAGATTCTTTGCAATGATCACCGGTAATGTTTTCCCCTCTCCCAAATATACATACTTCGAATGCTTGGGAAGAGGTTTGAGTTCCAAAGTGGGGGCCTGCATCACCGAAGGTAAAAGTTTCTCTTTAGACATCGGAAGAGTAATATAGGAGAGATCATACCTTGGTGGAATACTTGGTAGTGACTCAAGTGATGCCACAGTTTCCACAACATCCTTGCACACTTGTAAATTCTTACTCAACCCAATGAGATTGTTAGCATCAATGCTTTTAATCAAAGTGGTATCCAATGCATCTTCATTTGATAATTCAAAAACTTTTTGTACTAATGAATCTATTATATCAATTGAAAAAAAAAAGCATGAACACCACTAGGATACCCCATTGCTTCAAAGATGTTGAAGCGAGTAATCTCACCATCAAACTCCATTGTCAATGTACCATCATGCACATCTATCTCTTACGCACAGTCCTCATAAACGGTCTTTCCATGAGCAACGATGGTGACAAAGATGTTGGTTCATCTTGCATGTCAAGAACGTAGAAATCTATCGGAAAAATCAATTGATTTACCTGCACCAAAACATCCTCTAACATACCCTTTGGAAATGCATTAGATATATCAGTAAGTTGAATAATATCACCGATTTCTTTAAGTGATCATAGATTTAAGGAAGCATAAATAGAATGGGGCATGACATTAATAGATGCTCCTAAATCTAGCATTGCCTTTTCAAACCTAGTGTTACCAATAATGCAAGGGATGGTAAAACTTCCAGGGTCCTTACATTTTGGTGGAAGTTTCTTTTGCAAGACTGTTGAGACATTTTCCCTACACTTACCACTTTATTACCTTTCAATCTATGCTTGTTAGTGCACAAATCCTTGAGGAACTTTGCATAATGAGGCACTTGATAAATTGCATCCAAAAGTGGTATGTTCACTTGAACCTTGCGAAAAGTCTCCAAGATTTCTTTCTCATGTTCATCCTTTTTGGACTTTACAAACCTGCCAGGAAATGGAGGAGAGGGAACATAAGTAGGAATAGAACTTTTAGATTCTACGTTAGATCCCGCAGTTGGAGTTGTAGCTTCATCTTTTTCACATGCTAAGTTCTTCTTTTATGTTGACTCCTCAACTTGATCTTTCATTTTAATTGGTGCCTCTTCCAAAATTTTTCCACTTCTTAGTGCCACGACACTAGCATTTTCTCTCGGGTTGATTGCTTGAGAAGGAAGTTTTCCCGATCCTTGAGCCTCCAATTTGCCCACCTTGTTGGCCAATTGACTCACTTGTGTCTCTAAATTCTTAATTGATGTATTTGTTTCTTGTTGAAATTGTATTGTAATAGAAGCTAAAGACTTAACCATATCCTTAAGAGACATCTCTGAACTTTGAGGTGGAGTTTGTTGACGAGGTTGTGGGTGTTGTGGTTGCCTTTGTTGATTGAACCTTGGGGGATGATTTAAATTGTGATTGTAGAGCTATGAAATGATTTCCTCCGTAACTGAGGTTAGGATGATCTCTAAATCCAAGATTATATGTGTTAGCATATGGATCATATCTCTGTCTCTGTTGTATTGGAAATCCCCCAATGGCATTTGCTTACTCTGAGGCTCCTTCTTGCAGTGTCGGGCATGCCTCAGTAGGATGTCCTACAATAGAAAAATTTCACACTTTTGCTTGTTGCATTGTCCCAAGTGCCATTTGTTGTACAAGTGATGTAAGACCGACTAATTGTCGTTCAATTTGAGAGGTTGCTCCTATCTTACTTGCTTGTTTAATCGGTGCTGCTTCTCTACTACCAAATTGTTGTGAGTTTGCGGCCATGTTGGCTATCAAATCCCTAGCAACTGTCGATGTTTTATCCATTAAAGCTCTTCCACTGGCCGCATCAATCATACTTCTCTCCATCAGGAGCAATCCTTCATAGAAGTATTGTAGAAGTAATTGCTCATTGATTTGGTGGTTTGGGCAACTAGCACATAGACTTTTGAATCTCTCCCAATACTCAAAGAGATTTTTCCCTTGAGTTTGTCGAATGCTACATATTTCTTTCTTGATGTTTGTAGCCTTTGAAGCTGGGAAATACCTCTCCAAGAAGAGCTTTTGCATTTTATTCCACGTGGTAATAAGATCGGCCGGCAAATAATAAAGTCATTCCTTAGCAGTGTCTGTAAGAGAAAAAGGGAATGCACAGAATTTCACTTGCTCTTCCGATCTACCAGACGGTTTCATGCTTGAGCAAATTACATGAAACTCTTTCAAATGCTTATTTGGATCCTCTTCGACGAATCCATGAAAGGCAGGAAGTAGATGAATCATCCCAAACTTTAGTTCAAATTCCACCTCCACTTGGGGATATTGAATGCATAGAGCTTGTTGAACAAAAGTTGGAGCTGTAAGTTCCTTTAAGGTCCGATTTGCATCCGCCGTTTCAGGCTCTATGTGTTCGGAGTCACTTGAGGATTTAATGCTCAATCGCCTTAGATGTCTAGTTGGAGAAATATCTTTTCCACTTTCCGATGTGTCGGCCTCTTTTTCTGATCTCAGGTTGTAGTGTGTTATAGGCTTTTTGCTCATTCACAACGTAAATGACAAAGAAAATAACAAAAATAAATAGAAAAACAACAAAATGAAAAATATTGCAATTAACAAATTGATAAAACAATCACCGGTGACACGGCGCCAAAATTAATATGTTACAAATCATGTTCCAATTAATTTTCCTTACTTGACTTAAATGTGTCGTCTTAAATAGTATTATGGCAAGTAAGGGTCATTTCCCGCAGAGGATTGATTCAATTATGCCAATTGCGTACTAAAAAGTAAAATTTATAATAATATACGAAATAGATTAAATAGGGGGGTTTGGTTTGTTAAACTAAGGAAAACGATAAAATTTAAACTAGAAAAGACTTGAAATTTGAAATAAACAATTTGGATCTTGATTGAATGTGAAAATGTGATTGGGGGATATTTCGTCACCACGAGAATGATTTTCATGGCAATAATCACAAAAGATTTTCGTTTTCAAGATTATCAACAATTTAAGAATAATTACAAGCTCAATTACCTCAATTTCTTCTTACAGTTAGTCGAATAAAACAAGCTCTTTATTCAGCCCTATTCATTAAACAACCTAGAACAAGCTCTCTAGATTTAATTTAACAAACGCAATACGACAAAAGAGATGAATTGAATTAAGGGTAAACTTGCTAGCTCGGTTTACTAGCTTAAGTGTTAATCCACATACATTCAATTGAAAATTCTTCATAATCTATCGAAATGTAATTGCTACTAGATTCTAGAATCAATAGCTATTACGTACTACTAATCCCAAAATAGCATTCATCGAAACAACTTATTCATTTAGTTGTACACCTAAACAATCAAGAAAAACAAAATAAACATTTAACACAATAGATTAAACATATTAATCAAGAGAATTATAAAGCACAAATTAATCGAAAATCATAACTCGGGTTTGAAATGATCCCCAATCACAAATATAATTAGTTACTCATGAAATATTCACAAATAGCTAACAATTTTTTACAAAACATTGATAGAAAAAGTGAAAAGAAAAACTTATTGATAAAGAGAGAAATGGTAGAAAATCCTCCAATATCAATGGGTCATCTTCTCCAAGCTAATGCACCATCTTCATGTTCCAATCTTCCCCCAAAATATCTAAGAAAATATATGTGAAAGGAAAAGGAAAAAGAAAAAGAAACAAAAGGGCAAGAAGAAGAAGAATAACCAGCTGCTCCCCTAGAGTTCCGAGAATGAAAATATTGTGTTTGGTTGAATGTTTTAATCTAAAACCTAAAGAAAATTGCAGGATTGGTTCTTGACACCCAGCTCACTGAATTTATTAATTATTTTTTTTAATAGAAACATCATCTTTCAATGTCTTCATACTTTCTTTATCTTTTCATCTTTTCTCGCATAAATACCTTCAAATCATCGTTCAAAGTCGGGTTTTCGTCTACACAATAAAAATAACTAAATTAAGTAATAAATCGCTAATGAAACTCACAAATATCTAAGTTTAATAGCCCGGAATAGTGTAAAAACCCGCACTTATCAAGTAGCGTGACTCAAAAAAAGTCAAATAAGCATTTAAATCATAGTGGAAGAGAACTCAATTTAAAGAAGAGAAATAAAGAGAAGAGTGGACGAATAAAAGAGAAGCAATGGAAGAAGTGAAAATCCAAGATACACAACATTTATTGGTGATACAATGAATGATACATAGCAAACAGCATACAATTACTTATTTGAAATGAATATACATTGTAGACATATTCAAAAGTGATACAAATAACTGGTAAATTTCAAACTTCAGAAATCCAAACATTCGACTAATTATACCCAGAAACATTGGAAACAACAGGGAAAGAACTTAAGGGGTCCAATGAGAAAGCGAGAAGTAAGAATAATGTTGATAAATCTTCAATAATATCTGTAGGTATAATTTGATGTTCCAATTTGTCCCATGGAATTGATAGAATCTGACATGCTCTTCAACTGTTGATTATACATGTTTTGCCTTCTTCGTTGCAAATCTGATTCCATCTCCATCCGTCTTATGCGTGCTCGTTCTTCCTCGTATTGCTGATTCTGAGCTTTCATCCAGCCAAGTTCAGTTTTCGAACTTTTCTGTTCTGATACTTTATGCCTCAAGAAAATTGTGATATATCTCTCGTCATCATTTTCGGGCTCAGTTTCAAGTAAACTAGCACAATTGGCATGAAAATTGAAATTACACAATGAACAATTGTAGGTGAATCCATTGCAGGATTCACCACAGGCTTCACATCCCCCTTGGATATATGGAGGATAGAGGAGGGCAAGAGTGTGTTGAGGGTGGGATTTAAATTGAGCAGACTGTGGCAACTCAAAACAGAATTTATGAAGGTAAAACTTGCAACGTGAACAGGTGTAACAAGAACCAATCAAAGGAAGTTTACAAGCGAAACATGTGCGCTTTTTTGTTTGGCTTGGAATTTCTATGACTTGCATATCATGAGGATGGCTGAAATGCTTCATATCTCTTAACTTTTCTGCCTCTATTAAGTGCTATAATCTCGTGTGTATGTTTGTGTCTGTACTTTTTCAGTGACAAAAGGCTTTCTATTAATAGAAGTTTGAGGATATGGGAAAAGTTTTTTTCTCCCTTTAAATTCTTTGACTTTGTCAGCAAACTGAGTACAGCTTGTACCTGAGTGGACAAGCTGTAGTCTGCCAACTAAGGTAATGTCACATATTATTATCCAGTTTTCTGGAATATAAAATTGCAACTAAACCAGGAAGCTAGTACCAGTGGAGTGCATTTTGTCGTACCGTTGATGTTTTTTCTTTCTTTTCATTTCCTTTTCTCGATAAAGCTTGATAGAAGATAGAATGAATATAACTTTTTTTATAAACATATATAAATTCTGTATAATAAATGAAAATTAAAACAACTATGCTATTAATGTTCGGGATGGCAGCACGGTTGTGGGATACTTAATTAATGGATGAACAGGGAAGGGATGCAGACAATGATCCCCGTCCCGTCCTGATTTAATCAAATTATTTTTTGTAATTTTACTTATATAATATTATTATAGTGTGATATGAATAAAGAAATATAGATACAAATGAGCTAAACATAAAGTTAAGGGAATATAATCCCATATCGGTGAAATACCAAAATAATGACCAATAAATAAAGGATTGGGACACTCCTCTTAATAAGGTTGACCTTATTAAGATGGACCCCAAATTTTAACATGGTATCAGAGCCCATTAAACTCCAATGAGCGATTCGATCCGATTAAATATCTAAAAATGAGCACACGAATTTCAAGATTGATCTGCTCAAACGAGCCACCATCTTGCGGGGGCATGTTAAGGGAATATAATCCCACATCGGTAAAATACCGAAATAATGACCAATAAATGAAGGATTGGGACACTCCTCTTAATAAGGTTGACCTTATTAAGATAGACCCCAAACTTTAACAAGATGACCCATAAAAGTGTAAAGTCCATAATTTAATAACAAGTTGGTCCAATACCACTCCGTTTTATAGACTTTTCCCTCAACAAATTTACTTACAACTTTCGACGTGTGATCATTTTCGTGTCTTTATTGTCGAAGTTTTGAAACTTTACTAAGAGTTTCATTTATAGAAATTTAATGTTGTTAGGTTTCAGCATCCATAAGGGGCCGGAGAAATAGGACAAAATGTCACAAAAAAACTGCATCATCACATAATTGGCCACCATTTGTGATTTTTCATTGTTTTTTGTTGTTATGCGTCATGGTTGGCATCAATGACTTTAGAAGTTGACATTAACAACTTTAGAAATGTATATTATTGTGTTAAAGCTTATCTATACATGGGCGCCATCAAGGAACAATGAGACAGATTGAAGTTAAATATTATCTTATTAGTTGACCATTTAAGAAGATGATAAGAAATTAAGTGTTGGTAAATTTAATTAGTACTGTATGGAGTGGGATCGGATTCTCATATACTGTATATGTGATTTAGACATCGAATTCACGCTTACCGTATTTGGCAGTTCAATTCACCGTATATGCCAGACAGCTCACCGTATTTGACAGCTTACCGTATATACCAGGCAGCTTACCGTATTTGCACCTTACCGTATTTGCAGATTACCGTATATGTTGCCTACCATATTTGCAGAAAACTCACCATATATGGCAGCCACTGTATTTAGCAGCGAAACTTACCGTATTTGCACAGAATTTGGATAAAGTGTTTTTATTCATACACTAACTAAAATAACACAAATTATTTTCTTTTACAAATAGAAATACCACATATGTGAAATCTATTTTCCACACATATAACGAATTGAAAAAAAAAACGCGTATTTTATTTTATTTTTCTTTTCAGAGATCTATTTCTAACATAAATTTAACAAACAATATAAGAGACGTGTAAATTGCCAAATAAATAAATCTGCAAGAATAAAGTGCAAACTAAATAAATAGTTTCAATCCGAGGCCTGTGCGAACAGTTTCCTTAAAACAAATTAGCTCCCTCACCGTAAATGTTTGAGATCTAGCTCGAGCGTCTGTTTCCTAGGATACAAGGGCAAAACCAGCAAAATCTGAGCACCGCTGAAACTATTTTGATGAACTGAGTTTGTTTTCAAACAATATCACCACAAAATTATACTAGACAGAAATCGAGATGCAGATAGGAAGAAAATATGCAGAATGTTTTCTCCTATTTTCGTGTGGTTTTTTTGTATGTACTGGAACTGCTGGAAAATGGCAGTTTTTTATAAGTTTAAATCTGCCTATTAACTCCATAACAATAAAGAATGGAGTTGTTTCAATTTCTGGGAGTTTTGGCAATTTCAAGAAATTCAAAGGTCAGTTGAAGAAAGCAAAAAATTGCAAAACGTAGACACTCAAAACAAGCTAATTTTTGCTGCGTTCGGTTTGACATTCGTGTACGCAGATCGCGCCTGCACATAAGTTCAAGGTTTGAAGGCAATTTCGATCCGTGATTTGCTCCCCCTACGCGCGCACATGGAAAGAGCATCTATGCTATACATGATTACACCATTCCAATGTGCAATCCTATATAAAGTGGTTAATACTTTCTTTATTTTTTTATGGGGGACTAGACTCATTTTCCCACATAAATCAGCTTCCAATGGTCATCTTTGAGCTCCAATTTCTCATTCATCAATTTTGGCAAATAAATAAATGGTTTCGATGCTCTCACGGAGGAGAACAATGATCAATGTTGATCTTTCAAATTGGACCAACGGGTCCCACCGAAAATTTTGCTAAAAGTGAGCCAATTCACTCATTTTTCCAACAATAAGCTCATACCAAATCAATGTAGAACCATTCATCTAATGCTGTCATGAAGAATATATAGAAAAATGGATCTATATGATCTCAGAAATCGCAGGGAACTTGACTATAATTCATATAGCATATCCTTATGTTACATGAGTCATTATATATGAAACCTAAACCCTAAAACCAAAGAGGAAAGAGATGAGGTTTCAAGAAAAGCAACAATTTAGCCAGGGGCGGAGCCACTTCAAGCACTGGCCTCAGCTGAGATTTCTTCAACTGGTATTTCCGACAGTTGTTGAAGGTAGTGCCCGCACTGGGATTTCCGACGGATCAAAGGTCCAAGAATAGAAGAAGAGGAGCGGAGAGGAGAAGAATTTACATGCTGTAGAGATAGAATTGTGGAAGAGAAGCCGAGGAAGAAGGTGAATGCCAAGTTGCCAACTGGGTAATTCTTTTAAATTTTTTCAGTTTTGGCCCGTTTATTTCTGGGCTGATGAGTGATTTTGTGATGGGCTATTTTATATAACAACATTATGCCCAACCCAATGACCCATATATACTTGATTACCCACAACAGATTGTCCAAAACTCCAAAATCCAAATTTCAATTCAACTGTACGAGAAACCCTTTTCTGCTTGCTGCTGCCATGGCGATTTATGCGAAGTGGAGTGACTTAAGATTCGGTCTCCTGCTGGCTACTGCTGCTGATGGGCGACGACTTGCCGCCGACAACAACGCCTACCTTTCCATTCTCTTATCAGACTGCTAGCGTCTCTCTCTCTCTCTCTCTCTCTCTCTCTCTCTCGGTTTTGTTTTTGCCTTTTGTTCTCTATTTTGTCATCACCTCACATAATTCAATTATTTATTTATTATTTGTGAGTTATGATTTATATTTGAGTTATGATTTATCATTTGTGATTTGGGAATTTATGTAGAGGAAATAAGGACCTAGCTCTTTTTTTGTTCATAAACTTAAAAAAAAAAAAAAAAAAATTCACTGTAGCTAATGCCTAAATTTGTACCCGCACTGAGAGAGGTTCCTAGCTCGGCCCCTGATTTTAGTCACCCCCATATTTTAATTTCCCTCCAACTTGATCAAGGAGAGGAGATTCAATGCTACGCCTATGATCAAATTATATTCGAACCTTTTCATGCCTGCCTATCCTGCAATCTCTATATCCACGACCATTGTATGAATGTGCCGCGCTCTCTTCAACACCTGTCTCATCCTTTTCATCCATTGTCCCTTCTTCTGACCCCAACATATTGCAGTCGATCCTACACTTGCAATGCATGTGGATCAGAAGGCAGAGCCTTAGGTTTCAGTTGTGCTCATTGCGAGTTTGATCTTCATGTAAAATGCGCATCTTTGCCTAATACTATACTTTTAGACAAGCATCCGCATGAACTCAAACTGATCTTTGATTCACCTTTCGAGAATAAAAACACTATATTTGCCTGTGATTTGTGTCGTGGCATCATGCAGAATAATTTCTGGCTGTACCATTGTACAGATTGCGATTTTACAGCGCATTTAGATGCGCAGTCTCCAAGGCTTGCTTCAAGGAAGATAAATCGAGGAAGCCAGAAGAAAATACTAAAGCAAAGGTTTTGGGAAATAAAAAACCAGAAGAACAGAATGCAGTAGCAAAGGATTCGGGAAAAGAAAAATCCAACCTTCAGTACAAAGATTTAAAGGATCAAATACAAGAATTGAAAAATTCCATTTCTGAGTTAAGGAAACAGAAAGAACAGCAGATGGCGCAAAAATTAGAAAAGGATTCAGGAAAGCAAAAATCAAAAGTTAAGAAAGTCAATATGGAGGATCAAAGAAAAGACTCGAAGAAATCGATTTTTGAGGCTCAAAAGCAACTTAAAGAACAACAAATTGCGCATAAACTAGTGCTTGAAGCACTTAACAATGTCGCTGAATATATTGGGCCATCATATTCACGAAGATATTACTATTAATAACAGGCATTCGTATAAATAAGCATGGAAGGAAGTTTGCAATTACTTGTCTGTTATTGTTTTCTATTTGCAGCTGAAATAAAGCGGTGAATTCAAAATTGAACGATGAAAAATAAGTATTCATGTTTATTGTACTTAAATCTTCAATTAAACTTTCTTTTGAATACTCACTAGAATTTAAGCATCAAGCTTATTTGGAATTTCCAAACGATGTAGTTTGACTTTTATTCGAGTCGAATTCAATCCACAAGTACATGGGTTGAACAGATAACAAGGTAGTAAAATGGATTTGCGTCCCACGAAATTTGATCAAATTATCAATTAAAGAAATTAACTATCCCCAGTTTCATGACGCCAAGCAGAATAGCAATTATCCTCCAGGCTAACTGCAACATATGATTTTAAAGAAAGAATACGAATGAAAACACCCAAGGACAGAGAAAATTATCTGAAATTCAATTCAACTTTTATTAAACTCCGGATCAATGAAAAATAACCCACAAGTCAGGTTAAATAGTTGAGAAAATATGAAATTATGAAAATTTTGCCAAAAATAGCAAAATTCCTAAAATCACACCAAAATAAAAGAAGTAACTTGCCAAAAATTTGGCTCAAATCGAATTAGTAATCAACTAAAAAAAGGCAAACGAATCATTGCCATAAATGAAAAAAAAAACTAAAAATTGAAATTCGAATGGCAAAACAACGGATTCTGGCCTCGAAATTGATGCCCACCAAGCATAGTTGGGTGACCACAACGTGCACGTTGAAAAGAGCTTTCCGAATTAGGGTCATAATTGCGATTCTAATAACCGTAGCCAAAATTATGGTCAAATTACCAAAGTGTCAAAATTGCCCTAATTAATGAAAGTGTTGCAATCACCTTTTATCTTTGCGCTGATCCACCATCTCATAGTATCTCAACGTCATCAACGTACTATTGGATATCTCGGCTTCACTTGATTTGGGACTTCTTGCATCACTGTATTTGAAATATCAAATTTTTAAGATTTTAAACTAACACATGAATAACTAAACTGCTTGTAACATATTGAACTTCTTAAATTCTTTAAGCTTAAAATCACATTCCTAGGACCGACAACACATTGCCAACTTATTATCCACATATTTTGTAAAACCCTCTATTTATAAATACTTAAAATTAATACAAAACAAATACTAATTAAACACTAGAGCTTTCGACATCGTTGCTGCTCTAACCAATGTAATTCCGTTTATAAAAATTAATGGAGAGATTCCAAGTGGAGAGCGGTAATTTCCTAATTTATTTGATTTATCCACTCGACTAAGACCAAAATTACCGTCACATCTGAACTTATTATATATCTCTTACTACACGTAAAAGAGAATCCTAAAAATGCCTCTCCATCTTATATGTCATTTATGTTATGTATCTGTTATTTGGAGCAAACAGTATGCATTTCACCTCTTGGTGTCAATACTATTCATAGATCATTATTACCTAGATAATGAAAGCATTAAAATAATATATAAATATATATATAACCAGGACTCGACATGACATTGTGCTTCAACTAAAAAAATATATATATAAATCAAATCAAATTAATATCGAGTTTTCTCCTAAAATAATCAATAAGCAAGCATAATTAAGTATCAAGCTTGTAATAATCACTCTCAAAAGTTACTTTTGTTAATTAAGAACCCGTTTGAGCCCCATTATTTCCTAATAATGCATTTTTAAATTGTAAATTGATGGAGAATGTGTGAATAAAAAATAAAGAAAGGTTTTGAGTTTGTGTGCAATATTATTTTATTAATAAATGTGAGGTTGAAAAGAAGATAAAGGAAAATATATTTTGACAATAATGGGGATAAAACAGGGCTAAGTGTAATATTTACATTTATCAGTACAAGTATTCAAACTAAACAATTGTTTAATGTACATATTCAAACTAAACAATTGTTTAATGTACATATCATATAATTAATTATCAAAACTTCATAATGTAGGTTCAATATTATCCACATTTAAACAACTAAACCAAGAATCATAATATTACAGTAACACAATTGAAATCAATACAACAGCATCTGTAATTGAATATTGGGAAGAAGGATGGAAAATAGTCTTGAAATCTTGAGTTCTCTAATGGTTAAACTTTTTCTTCTTCAACTTCAAGCAATATTGTAAGAAAAGATGGGAATATGAAGTATTGCAATTAAAACCTCTTCAATTCTTTCCAATAAATAAGGAATTTCTCTTAAATGGCCCTCTTCTAATATGTGGAATATGTTGAGTGGTATTGAGTTTCTCTCACTCCAAAAGCTAGTTCAAGAGGTGAGGCTTTCATACTTATAAATTGAATAGCAACCTCATCCACAATCGACGTGGGATAATCTCAACAATCTCCCCTTCACACATTGGATTTTGTGAGAGACCAAACACATCTTCCCCACACATCGGGCCCTACGGGAGACCAAACCTGTCTCTCCCTCACACAAAGGGCTTGCGAAAGATCAAGCCCGTCTCCTCCTCACATAAACTCGTATCTCCATGACTCTTGAGCCGAAAACGATTGTTGGGCCGGAGACTTGTTGATAAACCAAGCTTTGAAACTAATGTTGGATGGTATTGAGCCTCTCTTACCTCAAAAGCTATCTCAAGAGGTGAGACTTTCCCTCACACTTATAAACTGAATACCAACCTCATCCACAACCAATATAGGATAACCTCAGCAAAATATGTGTACAGTGTGCATGAGCCTCCTAGCTTCCTCCTTTGTCTGTGGATGAGAGTTCACTACTACAAAACAGTTTTTCACCTACGAAAAATTGCCAATGGATTGCATCCATTAGTAATTAGAAACGGAATATCCGTTGGTAAAAATAATTCACTCTCAACTACGATAATCAGCAACGGATTTTCCGTTGGTAACAATAATATCTTTTTACCAACGGATATTCTGTACCTAATGTATCCGTTTAACATTTGGATCTTTCACCTATGGATATTCCGTAGGTGACGTACCAAATATTACCAACGGAAACAATCCGTCGATAATTAGAAACGGATTATTCAATGGTAAAAGTAATTCACTTTCAACTACGATAATCAGCAACAGATTTTCCATTGGTAATGATAATATCTCTTTACCAACGGATATTATGTGCCTAATATGACCGTTTAACATTTGAATCTTTCGCCTACGGATATTCTGTTAGTAATTAAAAACGAATTATCCATTAGTAAAAGTAATTTAATTATCCCACATCTGAAGTTTACAACAAAGTCTTTGGAATTGTCCTCTATAAATTTATGGTCCAATAAGTGATTAAACAATATTTTGATTTTTCAATTCAATTGTTTAAAAGTTCTAAAAAAATTATAATTATTAAATAAATAATAATAACAATAATAAAAAAAGTAAATAATTTATTTTTTTTAGCATGCCTCACACCTATAAAACTATTTACAACATTGATTTTTACAAATTATAATGGTAGACATTTACCAACGGAAAGTCAGTTGGTATTGGTTAAGATTTTTACCAACGAAAATTTCGTTGGTAAAAAATTCGCACATTACCAACGGAAATAACGAAATTTTCGTTGGTAAAATGTTTACTCTTTATCTACGACACAATCTGTTGGTAATTATCAGTGACCATCAAATTAATAACGGATTTGTGGTTGCAAATATTTCATTGGTAAAGAGTAATAATAATGGATATCAAGGTTTTAGGAACGAAAAATTCGTACCTGAAGCCATATTTTTTAGTAGCGGTTGTATTTATATGACAAGACTTAAGTCAAAATCCTTGCCCTAATTGGTTTCCAAGAAGTAGTTGATGAAGAAAAGGAAACAAATCTTTTGGTACTCGAATGCACTACGTGATTTCACAATCAAAATGCTTACGCTTACACAAGCATCCAAAATTGGATTCTGCATCTACCTGTTTGGCTAGTGCGGTCGCGCCCCTTAATTCTTTGCCTGCTATAATTTGGTCCCTCAATTCAGCTTCAAGCTTATGGATCACCTCTGATTGCTCCATAATTCTTCTAATTGATCAATTAAAATTTGGTAGATCATCATTTGCTCCTAGTCAACTCCAATTTAACTCCAAAAATGTCCTTTTACGCCAATTGCAGCCAAGTGCTTTCAAGTCAAGGTTTTACCTACAATTAACATATTTAAAATTAAATTAGGTAGAAATCCACTCAATTTTACATAAATAATCAAGTAAAGGTCTAAATATATATGTATCATAATTCATACGTAATAAATTTATCATATATACACACACATACATATATCTGTATATATTGGTGTTATTTCCTTCCATGTTCATTAAGGGTCCGTTTGATTGTAAAGGTGGAATTTGGTTGAAAAGAAAACGAATTTCAGGGAATTGAATCGCCTGAAAATTGTTTTCCTGAAAATTGTAAATTATTGTGTTTGATGGGTATAATTTTTCACGTGAAAATTGTTGAAATAAAAGTATTTTTTTTGTGTTAGTTTGACTTTGTTTTATATGAAAATTGTCAATTAAAGGGATGAAATTTACTGGTATTGGGGATGAAATTTATTTTCATTGTCAAAACAAAAAGAGAAAAATCAAGAAAATCATCTATCTTTTGGTATTCGTTTGATTTTGTTTTACATGAAAATTATCAATTAATTCTTAGAATTTGTTTTCATTACCCAAAAAAAAAAATGTCAATGGTAACTGGGAAAATCATTGGTGGGAATTGATTTTCCCACAAAAGCTAGAAAAACAAGTCCCAAGAAAATCAAGAATTTAATTTCTATGAAAAATAAAGTCTATCAAACACCATAAAAAGTGGAAGTTGGAAAATGATTTCCATTTTCCATGGAATTTAACCTCTATCAAACATGGTATAATAGTTACTTGTCTCCCTTATCCTCATTAAAAAATTGAAAGCAATTTGGTTATGAGTTACTACATCAATATAAATTTTTAAAGAGAAATAGGATCGGCATATTCTAGAAAATAATTATAGAAAAAATAAACTCCACTAGTACTAGATTCCTGGTTTAGTTGCAATTCTATATTTCAGAAAACTAGACAATAATTTGTGACACTGTCATGAGACTACGGCTTGTCCACTCGGGTACAAGCTGTACACGGTTTACTGACAATGTCAAAGAATTTTTGAGGAAAAATGACACTTCACATTTCCTCAAACTTCTATTTATAGAAAGCCTTTTAGTCACTGCCGAAAACTTAAGTGCAGAGATATAGAGAAGGAGAAAATTTAAAGAGATATGAAGCATTTTAGCCATCCCCATGAAATGCAAGTTATCGAAGTACCAAGCGAAAATAAGCAGCAAATATGTTTTGGTTGTAATCTACCCTTATTTGGTTCTTGTTACAGTTGTTCACCTTGCAGTTTTTACCTTCATAAATTCTGTTTTGAGTTTCCACAATCTGCTCAATTCAAATCCCAACACAAACACAATCTTGCCCTCCTCTACCCACCATATATCCAGGGGGGTTGTGAAGCCTGTGGTGAATTCTGCAATGGATTCACCTACAATTGCTCTAAGTGCAAATTTAACCTTCATGCCAATTGTGCTAGTTTGCTTGAAACTGAGCCCAGAAATGATCGTGAGAGATATATTGGGATGTTCTTGAGGCACAAGATATCAGAACAGAAGAAGACGAAAGCTGAACTTGGCTTGATGAAAGCTAAGAATCAGCACTATGAGACAGAACAAGCACGCATAAGACAGATGAGGATGGAATCGGATTTGCAGCGCCGAAGGCAAAACCTGTATAATCAACAGTTGAACAGTATGTCAGATTCTATAAATTTCATGGGACAAATTGGAACATCAAATTATACCTATAGATACTATTAAAGAAGATTTTAGCAGATTCTATCCATTTTCTTGAGACAACGTTATTCTCCTTTCTTGCTTTCTTGTGAGACATCTTTTGGTGTTCTGTCGCGTTGCTGTTTCTAATGTGTTGTGTTCATCATTTAAATGTTTGAATTTCTTTTATCTTTATTTCTACAAATTACTTTTTGCAGTTTGATATGTACCAGTCATTTGTATCGCTACTAAATTTGTGTACCATGAATCCAGTTTTTTCACTTCCTCCATTGCCTTTCTTTTATTTTGGTTCTCCTCTTTTCTTTTATTCTATTCTCTTCCAACGCTGAAATTGAAAAAATGCTTGCTTTTTGCATTTGTTTAGTCAGCACAAATATAAATAAGTTTAGGGCCTGTTTAGTAATTATTTTTTGAAAATCATTTTTTTTCATAATCATTTTCAACCATACATTCTATGGAATTCGTAACTCTTACCTACTTTCTAATACACACATTCTTCGAAAAAAAATTCAAAAAATTCTCTCCCAAACAAATACTTATTAATAAATCATTTTCTATTTTTTTTCATTCGAAAAACATAGGGTAGTAGTTAAAATAATTTACCAAGTGAATACATAACAAAGAAGGAATCTTTGACAAATAACATCTTTGAAGAGGTGTAGCAAAAACTAATAATACGTAATTAGACAATGTTGGTACAAGGAGATGCAGACAAAAGAATAACAATAATAAACATGAAATTATGCACTTGTTTGATCCCCAGTTTGGTGGATATAATGCATTTTGAATAGTAGATTGATGAAGAATGTGTGCTTAAAAATAAAAGAAAAGTTTTTGATTTGTTTGTAATATTATTTTATTGAATATTGTATGGTTGAAAATGAGTTTTGAAAAAATGAATTTTTAGAAAATTGAGAATCAAACAAAGGCTATAAAAGAAATTTTGCGCACGAATCTTCAACAATTTTGTTAATATTAAAAAATAACTAAATTATAATAATATTATAACCACTATTTTAAAAACATATTGACTAAACTTTTAAGAATCTATATGTTTTATTTGAACTCCTAATCAATGTAATCTCGTACCAAAAGTCAAATAATAAAAGGCCAACAATTGAACAACTGTAGCAATAATAATAATTAAACATGTACTCCTACATCATTCTCCAAGAATCAAAGAATATTCATCTTCGAATCTTAGTGTCTTTACCCAATGTCTTGAAAAGGTAGCAAAATTGAATTTTTATCTAAAAAATTTTCAATCTTGACTTTCATGTCAAGATTATTTAGATCGATAATAAAGTACAATTTTGAACTTCTTGTATGTCATTTGAGTCTATTCTGACGAGAGCCAATTTAGCCATATAGATTTTTAGAACTTTAAGCCTACATTATATAAGACCTTCTATATACACTTTATGAGTTTACCTATATATAAAGCGTTAATATTAAGGGAGGCCTCACCTACGTGGGCCCTAGGCAACTACCTATAGTCAGGGTTGCCCTTATTGATTGTGTCTTGACCATTATCACTTTCGAGAACTCTATCACTATCTGTAAATGTAGTTTCTTGATTCACCTGGTCATTGCTCCACGTCATTCCTCAAGCTCTTGGGCCTTTTTTAGAATTACAACCTAAAATACAATATTACAGCATGTGCAGATTTTTTAAAGGCTTTATTTATTTATTTTTAAATAGATACCTCCAAGTTTTATAGATCAACCCTCACGTATGGCTGAGAAATACCATGAAGACAAGTTCACATCGCAAGATTTTTTAAGGGTTTATTGACTAAAACAAATAGTCCATATGATGTGAATTTATGTGGCTCAGTTTTCTCAAGAGTTGTATTAGAGCCAAAAATACTAATCTCCAAACCATCTTCAATACCTTTCTTTTTTTTTGGAGAGTCATATGTAGAAATTAATCATCATTATATATGATTTTAATATCGAACTCATTATAAAATGTTGTAATGTGACTCAAATTCTAATGGGTATTGAAGTCCTAGTTGATATGGTTTTGAAGAAATCAAAATTATGTACCGAGAAGAAAAATTGCTGCATTTTTGCTAGCCTACCGCTAGCTGGCTGCGCAAGTGGCACCTATATAATTTCTACAGAGACTTGTTGCACGCCTGGCCCTCGAACTATGAGGCTATCGCCCACCTATCGCTCGATCTGACCCACACCCATTTCGCGTTTTAACGCATTTTTGGACACCTATTCATCTGCAACTTGACTTCTAGGGTTTCATATATATAAATCACAACTTGTGTTGTTTCCATAATATTCATACAATATCTTGAGAGTTGTAAATCTTAGTTGAAAGTATTGAGATCTTGTTATAAACATAATTACTATTAATTACAGTAGATTTTTCCTCCTCTACCAGTGATTTTTTTCTTATATTAGGTTTCCACATAAATCTTAGTGTTCTTATTTTGTTCTTACTTATTTTATTATTGTCATTATCTTGCGATCAATTCATAAAAAGTAGTATCAAAGCATGATTATTCCGCATGGCAATGATGAAATATGTTATTCCATTATTGGATTGGAACATAAGATTTACTTTATGTCAAGTGAAGATGAGAACAGTTCTCGTGTATATGGGTTCAGAGGAAGTCTTGCTTGGCTTTGATAACATGCCTTCAATCTAGACGTAGAATAAAAAGCAGCGTAAGGATCGAAAAGCCCATGCTTAAATTCATCTATATCTATCAAATCAAATTCTTTAGAATGTTCTAACAGAGACAAGTGCCACTACATTGTTTTTGAAGTTGGAGCAAGTTTGTATGACAAAGAGCTGACCAGCAAGTTACACTTGAAACAACACTTGTATTTTTATTCGAAGAAGTGTCAATGGATGATTACTTAACTATATTCAAAGAATTGGAGGCCAATTTGAAGACCTTGAATGTTGAATTTGATGAGGAAGACTTGGCATTGATGTTGTTGTGTTCACTGCCGCCATTATATGTGACTTTTAAAGATACTATTCTCTATAGTTGGGATACTCTAACTGTGGAAAGAGTCTATAATGCTTTACTATCTAAGAAAAAGAACGTGAGGCATCTTGTTGGAGGATCTGGGAGTTAGGCTGAAGGCCTGGTTGTTCATGGAAGAAATCAAGATAGGAATCTTGTTAAGAGTACGAGCAGTAGATTGAAATCTAGACATGTAGAGAAAGTATGTCATTACAGTAAGAAGGGACATATCCGAGCTGATTGCTATTCACTGAAAAATAGAAATAAAACTCCTGAAGCTCCTAAAAAAAAAAAAGCAGCCTATTAATACAGCGAAAGCTGATGTCGTGGAAGATAGGTAAATTTAAGGAAAGCTTCTTGTGATTTCTGACATGGATTATAAACATTGTGAGAAATATATTCTTGACTCGACATGTACTTTTCATGTGTCTCAATGGGGACTGGTATACAATATATGTAAGAGTTTTGAGAAGTACAGTGATTATGGGAAACAACGGGTCTTACAAAATTGTCAAAGTTGGTACAATCTAGCATATTTCAGAACTGAAATGAAATCTCATATGTGTTGAGTACACTTGACTCAAAGGGTCATAAATACGCTGGTGAAGGCAGAGTTTTGAAAGTGAGTATGGGCGCTCTTGTTATCATAAACTGACATAAAAACTCTAAACAGTTGTACATTTTGCAGATTTCCACAATTATAGGAGATGCAGCAGTTTCCACTTTTTCTTTGACTAATTAGAAAGTTGTTAAACTTTGGCATATGCGACTTAGACATATGAGTGAGAATGGTATGGTAGAATTGAGTAGAATGAAACTTCTTCATAGAAAGAAGACCAGTAAGATGAAATTTTGTGAATATTGTATCTTTGGAAGTAGAAAAGAGTCAGATTCACGATAGGAAGACACAACATGAAAGGAACACTTGTATATATCCATTCAGATCTTTGAGGACCGACTAGGGTACTTTCAAAAGAAGGTAATTATTAGATGTTGACAGTGAGCGATGATCTCTCAAAGAAAGTTTAGGTATTCTTTTTTAAACAAAAGAATGATATATTTGGGATCTTCAAAGAATAGAAAACAATGTTAAAGTGCTATTTATCTAACCATGGATCAGATATTGATAAGAGAACTAAGCACATTGATGTGAGTTATCATTTTGTGCGTGAATTGATTGCTCGTGGTGATATTGTAATGAGTAAGGGTGATACTGGGGATGTCAACGAGCTGAGTCGAGTCAACTCACGAGCCGAAATTTTAGGCTTAGGCTCTGCTCGAGTAAAATGATCGAGCCTTAGTTCGGGCTCGAGCCGGGCCGAGTAAAAGCTCAGCCAAAAAAATGCTCGACCCGAGCTTTCGGCTTGGGTCTTTCCGAGCCGAGCCGGGTAGGCCCGGTGTTTTGCTAAATTTTTTTTTATAAACATGGCGGTTGGTTGCTGCCAAACATGGCAGCAACCAACTGCCTTTAAAATATATTTTTTAAATATAAATATAAGCTTTTAAGCTCGAGCCGGTGAGCCACACGGGCCGACTCGAACTTTGCCCGGCACCCTAAATGAGGCTCGACCCGAGCCGACGAGCCCGATTGCCATCCCTAGGTGATACCAAGGATAATTCTGTTGATATGATGACAAAATCACTTTCCATTGCTAAGTTTGAGCATTGCTTTAATTTAGTTGTGTTTGTCATCGATCTAGATCATTGGGGCTTGTTTGAAAGAGGAGAAGTGGTGTGTACTTTGGATATGTGTTTTTGTAATTTCTTTCTTTGAAATTCGGTTTAAAGTGGAGATTTGTTGTAATGTGAGTCAAATTCTAGTAGGTATTAGAGTCTAGTTGAAGTGGTCTTGAAGAGCACTTAAATATTTTCTACAAGGACTTGTCACTTGCCTAGCGCTCAACGTATAGGCTGTCACCTGCCTGTCGCTCGAGTTACAGGGTTATCCGAGCCAAGCCCATTTCTCGTTTTGATGCATTTTTGGACTTCTATTCATCCATAACTTGACTTATAGGGTTTCATATACATAAGTCACGGCTTATATTGTTCCCATAACATTCAGACAACATCTTGAGAGCTTTAGATCTCAGTTGAAAGTATTGAGATCTTGTTGTAAACACAATTACTATTGATTATAGTGGATTTCTCTTCATTTACATGTAATTTTTTCCATCTTAGGTTTTCACATAAATTTTGGTGTTCTTATTTTATTCTTGCTAATTTTATTATTATCATTATCTTACTATAAGTTCATAACATAAAAAAAGGACG